CCCAAATCCTATACCAAGAGAAAAATTGGACCAGTTGAATTAAGCTTTAAGCTCATTATGCATATCCCTCTTATCGATAAGCAACGAAATCGCCGTACCATTTATGTAACTTCATTTCCTACAGTGGATTTGGTTTCCCGTGTAATTTCTTCAACCCCGCCACTGATTTGACTCCAATCAGTAGTAGGGTCTTTGGTTTGGTGAAAAGACCGTACTACCAGCTATAACTTTCGTAAACACAAAGTTTTATACCCCATAAAATTTTATTTTTACTCAAAATCTTACTCCTTCAACTTGACAACTAGACACAGGCGATCAAAATTCTAAAGCCTCTCACTATAAATCTGACAATCGCAAAGCCGGCAAATTGATATGGTAAACGTTTTCCGTCTCTAGTAGGTTTTTTTTACTCATTGATATGAGCTCCCCTCAAAACATAGTGGAAAAGCGATAACACTACCATAGTATCGCTATAATCTTGGTTCGAAGATGGGGAAGATATTGCCGTGTTTGAGAGACACTATCCACTCTCCACCCAAATACAGAACCTTAAGATGGGATAGGCATGTGGAGATTTACAGGTAGTGGACATGAGACAGTGATCCGTAGGTCCAGAAGATATTGGAGACAACGAGTAACCAACAGCTGTTATAATCTGACGTGTTTGTATTGCAAGTCGCGCCCAGTAGAATAGGTAGAATTGTAACATATATCAAACATTAGCGAAGGAGATATCGGCCTTGTTAATGTCACATGAACCGATTTCTCGTTGCTGGTTATAGTAGACGACGTTGCCTTACTGCTATATCTAGGATATAATTAAAAAGTAGTGGCAGAAGGGAACCAGGCATCATTCCTAGGACAGCCAGAGTTAGCAAATTCAATTGCGATGTGTACATGCTTCCTATGTGATTTCTAAGAGTTTACTTGTATAAATTGTATATATAATCCTGTCTACAAGGACTTAAAAATAAATTAAATAAAACTACACTTAATTAGCAACTTTAGACCAATCTTTAAATTGTTCAACACCATATTGAATGTCTTTGATCCAGTTGTTGATTTGTAATGTCAATTCCCCGGAAGTTCCAGCAGCGACAGGAACTTTAATGGTTTCACCCTTGTATTCAATTTCATCAATTGGAGAAACAATAGCAGCAGTACCAGTACCAAAAGCTTCAATCAATTGACCCTTATCGGCTCTTGCCTTAACTTCATGAATGGTCAAGCTTCTTTCGTTCACTTGCCATACTTTAGAATCTAATTTAGTTCTAGCTAATTCTAATGCAGAATCACGAGTGACACCAGGTAAGATCATACCATCCAATGGAGGAGTAACCAATTCTTTAGTTCCGTCTTCATTTTCAAAAGCGAAAAATACATTCATGGCACCAACTTCAGTAATGTAACCTTCTTCACCAAATAACCACAAGTTTTGAGAATGGCCTCTCTTGGCAGCTTCCATTTGTGGTTCGATACAAGAGACGTAATTAGCACCCAATTTGTAAGAACCAACACCTTTAGGCCAAGCTCTGACGGCATAATCGGTAGCTTCTAATGAAACTGGCTTGAAACCAGCACTGAAGTATGGTCCAACTGGGGAAGCAATACAGTATAATAATGCCTTGGTTGGAGCACTAACACCCAAACCAATAGAGGTACCAATCAAAGTAGGTCTTAAATATAATGAGTAACCAAATCCTTCAGGTACAAATCTTTCTTCAACTTGTAAGAATTTATGTAATAATTTTTGGAATTCATCACCATCAAAAGTTGGTAACGCAGCTCTCTTGGCTGATCTATTCATACGTTCCATGTTCTTATTAACTCTGAAAGTTCTAATTTTCCCTTCTGAATCACGGTATGCTTTTAAACCTTCAAATAATTCAAAAGAATAATGGAGGACACAAGTAGCTGGGTCAAGGGAAAAGGTATGGTATGGAGTAATGGTTGGTGTACCCCATCCTGATTCTTGAGTCCATTCAATTTCCAAAATATGATCAGTGAATGATTTACCAAAAACCAATTGTTCCTTTGGAAGTGGGGTTGATGGTTTGGTGGTTTTGGTTATTTGTAATTGGCTAGCGTCTAATGGTGCGGACATGATATACGTTGATGCTAATCGAAGGGGGTTTATTTCAACGACGATTGAAGAAGATGAGAGAAGAATCAAAGTTGGTTTTTATAAGGTTTTAAAAAGTTTTTCGTTTCCGGGAAATGAGTCAGTGGAAAATTGACAGATCGTTCTAAGTTTTCCGTACGGGAGAAAAAAATTCGGTTATTCAAGGACATTGTTTTTTTTTTTCATTTGGTACGGGGAGTGTAGAGACCGGAACCGGCAGGGCCGACGGAATCGCAAACTGTGGATAAAAGCCATCACCAGAAGCTAATCAGTCATATCCATTCTACAAATACAAATGATTACTCATTCGTCTCTATTACTCATATATATTTTTTTAAATACTTTATCCTAATTCTTACTATATTCATCTGGGTAAAAGATTAATCTTTCAACACCCAGTTCAGTTAAAATAACCATACGAATAAGACCACCTGAAGACCCATCCCATTTAATAGCCTCACTTAATGCAGTTTTTATAAAATCAATACATTGATCTTTTTCCATATCGACCTGAAAGTTTTCATTACACCAACCATAAATAAATGTACTACCACTTCCTGCAATGGCATATTCTTGTTTATGTATACTACCACCAATAGGCACAGAATAAACTTGCCCACCATTCTTCTTATCATAACCAGCAACGATAATCCCAGCGGTTAATCCATCTTTGTTATTATAACAAATCTCTTGGAAAACATTAGCAGCAATTTCTGTTGTTGGTTTTTCACCAAATGGTAATTGAGATGCATAAACTTGTAAATAATACTTTACAATATCTGCTACAGCTTGAGTATCTGCCGCAGAACCACTACGACAGCAATATATAGTATCATGAATTTGAGTCAATTTGTCAGTAACTCTATTTGCAATATATGATCCTGTAGTTGTTCTTGAATCTGCACCTAAAATAACCCCATTCTTAAATTTAACTGCCATAATTGAAGTGCCTAGGTTTACTTCACCCTTTTTTAAATGATTAATATCAACATTGATTCCATTCATGTTTGCTAAGTATGTATATATTTGAATCTTATAATCCAATTGATGATTCAATTGATAATGATTAGTTTTTCAATTGCCACTGGGATGTTGAGATTTTTCTCCTGTTTTGCCTTTCATTCTTTAACAACTGAAAAAAAAAATTCATAATTAGTGGAATTGTAAAATGAAGTAAAGTTCCGGTACGTAGCACGTGATGCTCCCTCGGAGTTACAAAGAATTTTATTTTTTATTGTAGATCTGCATTTATTTTTTAATGAGATTGACACCAAATGATTGATTGTTCATTCATTCTTCCGTCACCCTCCTCCACGCCCACTGAACCCCTATAAATATTGTATGCACCCGTTTGTTATTTAAAACACCCACCTTGTCTTCTTTCATTCAAGTAGCTTTCTTTTTAACAAGCACCCTGATCACAAAATGATCGTTCAATTTATTCATTTATTAGTGTTGTTCGCTATTACAACATTTTCAGCAGTAATTCCCAAACAACTGTTTCTTACTCCAGAAGAACTCACTCATTTAGAAGGAGATCCAGAAGTTACTCACAAAGTAACATTCACCATATCTCAAGAACAACCAAACAAAGAACCACCAATTGTTTTAGGAGATATTACTATTGGTCTTTTTGGATCCGTTGTTCCTAAAACCGTGGAAAATTTCTATCAACTCTCAAGTCATAAGCATGATTATGGATATCTTAATAGTCCTTTCCATAGAATAATTAAAGATTTTATGATGCAAGGTGGAGATTTTGCAAGAGGAACAGGTACTGGTGGATTTTCAATCTATGATGAATCTACATTTCCAGATGAAAATTTTGAATTGAAACATGATAAATTAGGTAGAGTCTCAATGGCTAATGCTGGGAAAGATACTAATGGTTCACAATTTTTTATTTTGAATAAAGATAGTACTCCTCATTTGGATGGCAAACATGTTGTGTTTGGACAAGTGATTGGAGGTATTGATGTTGTGTTGGCAATTGCTGAAGTAAAAACTACTAGATCTAGTAGACCACTTGAAAAGATATACATAAGTGGTATCAAGACAGAAATTAGGGAGACAGAAGATGAATCGAAGAAAGAGGCATTAAAGCTTGCTGAGGATGCTAAAGAACAACAACAAACGGAAGATGAAGCTGCTGCTTTGGAAAAGTCTAAAGAAGAAGTTGAAGAGAAGCAACACAAAGAAGAACAAGAAGAGAATAAAGCTGCTGAGGAAGCTCTTTCAGAATCAGCTGAAGAAGCTAAGCATCTCACAGAGGATGACAACAACATTGTAGGTAAAACCGCATATGAAGGTGATTCCAGTTCATTCTTAAGTGAATATAAGTATCTCTTGATCTGTATGGTAATCTGTGGAGGTGTTATTGGTTATAAATTTAATCCTTATAAACATCATCAACTGCAATACCAAAAACTCAAAGTACTTCCAGATTGAGTGTGTCTATTTTTTTTTTTTGCGTGGGTTTCATTTCATTCCGTTTTCTATTTGTTTTACTATGTAGCCTTTATACATTTATCAATAAATACATGTCACGTAACGAATTCCCAATAGTCTCGGTAAGAAATCTCCCCTATAATACATCAACAGAATCCCTTTATGAATTCTTTGGGAAATATGGAAATATAAACCAAATAAGAATTCCAGACCCCAGGGCCAACTCATCCTCATCATCATCAGCACAACAAGGAACATGTTTCATAATATATAACAACACAACAAATGCAATTCGAGCTGCTCACGATTTAAATGGAGTTAACTTTAATGGAAGGTATTTGGTAACATCATTGTATCATGTTGATAGAAGTAAGATAGCCAATGAAGAATTGACATTAAGACAAGAACATTTGAATGAATTGAAAAAAATGTATGAAATTTCAGATTAGGGAGAGCTTATGCTATATGTTGCATAGAGATATCTAATTGAGATAGCTGTGACCAAACGCTATCCAAACTGATGCACTTATGGCAGAAATAGTATTTTACAAATTAGCGCTAAGAGGCACGATGATGTGCTTGACAAAGTGGATGCTCTATATTTGGGTCATATGCAGTCAAGCCTTCCTTCGATGGTCACCAAGATTATATTGGTCCTATAAATCGAACGTCCAATCGAAGTGTGATTTTTCAATATAAATGAAAACTTACAAATCAATCAGTGATAATATCCCGTATAGAGTTGTTGTACACTTAAATATATCGATTGTAAAACTTTATATCTGTTATATAATATACTCCTAATCTACTCACTCTTCTTTTCAACCTCACCAGACTTCTTTTCCTTTTCACTAGATGATTTCTTTTCCTTTTCGACGGATTTGGATTCCTTTTCAATTGGCTTCTTTTCAGTGTCTTGTTTCTTTTGAATTGAAAGATCAACCATTCCAAGTAAATAATAACTTATCAAAGCTAAGAATATAAATCCAGCAATTTTACCAACTTTATAAATGAAATCAGCTTGAGAATATTTATATCTTACGAATAAATCTAATTTTACCAAATCATCAAATAAATTCTTAAAATGTACTACAACTTTAACATGACCTTTTGAAACATCTAAATAAGATAATTCATTTTCAATAGTTAATGATTCATAACGAATTGGAGATGAAACATTTACAAATTCGGCATTTTCAGGTAAATAAAATTCAACAAAAACATTTTCATAAGTGAAATCTTTAATACTACTCACTAATGGGAATTTAATAATATATTCATCATTAGTACCAGTTAATTTATGTAAATATTTCGATAAATCATCTGACCATCCTAAAGTGAAATTATAAAACCAACCTCCGAAAAGTGGGAATCTTGGACGTAATAATAAATGACCTTTAACAAATGTTGAAGTAGATACAACCCCAACCTTATCAGTATAATAAAAATCTTCCAATTGATCTTGTCCATCTAATGGGAAATCTAAAAATCCTAATGCCCAATGTTCTCTTTTAGCTTCATATCTACCCTTCATCCAATCAACTCTTGAAAATCCAGGTGATAATTCAGCACCAGCATGAGTTAATTCAAAATATTCTTCAATAGATACTTTATTCACATCTGAAGCAGGTAACCAAATAGATCTTTTATAATTTACTGCTTTTGCTAATGGATAATTGAAATCATATCTTAATCCCATTGGTGAAATAGTAAATGGTGGGATATCTTTAGTGAAAGGTCCATAAATTAATACTTTATTAGAAACAGCTGGAGTAATATCCAAATCAGTATTAGTTAACCCCAATTTCAAATCAATTTCTTCTCCCTTTGACATTCCTGAATAATGAGCAGCATATTGTTTGGTAACATATGGACTAAAAGGAAACTTATTAGTTGTATATAAAACCCTTTGAACTTCATCCAAAGATATTTTAGCCGGTTGAGCAACCAAAGCATTAATATAGAAATAATTGATTTTAATTTCAATATTTGAATTTGGAGCAATTGGAACTGGTAATTTTAATTTAAATACTTGATTTGGAATAATTTCATCATATTCAATTTCTAAATTACCTTGTTCAGGTAAAACAGCAGCAAATATGGATAATTCTCCAACACTTCCGAATCCATCATTAACAACAAAGTAATATTCATCTTGTGGGACTGAATTAGTGTTCTTAATTTGAATATGATCAGTTTCTCTAACATAAGATCTTGATAAATCAATTACTCTGGTATAATCAGTATTCTCCCAGGAATTATTAGTTGAAATTGAATCAATCAATTGCGATTGACATAATGTCAATACAAACCCCAATGCAATTATCAATTGATTCCACATTGCTATTTGTTACTGAATGCTTGCTGTTTAATTGCCGTTCCGTTCAACAAATGTTTTGGGTGAAAAAAAAAGTGTTTGACGTGTTTCTTCGGGGAGAACAGTACTAAGGGGAAAAATTGCTACAGGGAACAAAAAAAAACAGACTGCATATAAGACTCACACTTTGGAACCACTGGTTGCAAATTTTACCTTACCAAAAGGGCTAGGCCCCTTACGCGTAGAACAAGAAGGTGAGTTTTTGGGAAGAAACGATACATGTAACCACCCTAGTACCTTCAGGAAATGTATCACCAAGGTACTTGAGGAGAATAGAACGTAAAGAGAAGAGACTACATCAAAACCGGTATGATAAAAAACAAGATAATAGATAGTTAATTATATAACAAGATTCAAAAAAACATATTTCATTAGAAACAAAAAGCCAATTATTTACCCAGCCCAACCAACCTACCGGCCTAACAATATTCATGAAAAACAACAATAATGATTATAAAAACAAACGCACGACACATGTCAAAAAACAAAAATGAGAGAATAAAATGCCAAACCAAACAAAATAAAAAAATCAATCCAAATACTTATATCCAACTTATTGGTTGGAACTAACTGATGATAAAATTTCAAAATCAGAAAGAGTTTCCTCTTCATCACTCTCTCCACTAATCATATCAAAATCTTCTTCATCTTCTTCATCATCTTTTTCTGACTCCACATCTGCATGTGCTTCAATAGCATCTACATATTGGGAATTCTCCAAACTTGATTCCTTAGGAATACTAGGCAAAACAATCGAATGAATAGAACCACCACCAAGTACATTTTCCAAATCACGTACTTCATCAATAACCAACTTATCTGACATATGATGATTACTTAAATCGACATGACAGATATTGTATTCATTTTTAAGAATAACCTTAAATGGGAATTTAAAATGAGCAGTACTTATACCAATATTAAATTTAGTAGATTTTCCTGGCATAATACCATGTCTCTTCATAATGATCATAGATAAGATCGAAGTATGGACACAGTTTAAAACTTCCAATTTCAAATTATTACAGTCGAAGATCTTATCGGATTTATTAGTGATTAATAATTGTGCCAATGATGATGATTTTGGAATAACAGTTAATTGAATTTCATCTTCTTTAGAAAGGATATGATTTGGATTATCAATAATCACGGGAGATTGAGTACGTGAAATTGAAGAAATTGAAAAAGATGTACCTTCTTTTGGATCTTCATCTAAATTAATGAGATTTTCAAAAACAGATTCTTCCTTCTTTCTTGCATGTTCTTCTTCTTCCATAATTTCATCTTCTTCCTCTTCCTTCAAGCTGCGAATTGAAAACATACAATCACAGTCTTCAAAATATTCACCTTCCAAGCAAGAATTCGAACTAACAATTCTAACCTTCATACCATTAACCAACATTTCATTACCGAAATGATTACCTAAATTATAAAACCTTTGTTGACCAGGTTTAATATCATTAGCATTCTTGACAATAATAAATCTAGAACTACCATCATTATAAAAAAATTCAAATTGTAAATTTCCACCTTGAATCAAGGCATCAGAATGATTAGTTAACAGAACCGAAATAATTCTGGAATTTTCACTAGTCTTTTTTGGTTTAAATGAAACTTTTCCATACTTAACAGGACCATACTTGGTTTCATCAAATTCAATCCTACTTAAATCTGCAGCATCTTCTTCATGTATCTCTTCTTCTTCTTCAGCAGTTGGAGTATTCTTTTCTTCTTCTTCTTCTTCTTCCATATCTTGATCTTCTTCCTTCTTGGACTTTTCAGCCACATCAGCAGCTTCAATAAGACTCTTCAAAATTGCAAACTTAACATCGTCATCAAACTCTTTAGCATGAACCAAATCAATCAATTCATTATACTTTTCAGCATCCTCCATAACTTGATCATTCTTTTCCGATTGTTCTTCCTCTTGCTTAGCTTGCTGTTGTTGAACCTGAAGAGCAGCTTCAACAAGAGTCTTCAAAACGACAAACTTAACATCTTCATCAAATTCTTTTGCATGTCCCAATTCAATCAATTCATTATATCTTTCTGAATCTTTAATATATTGTTCGATTTCTTTGGTACATCCGTCAAAAGCCTTAAAGAAATCACCAGTTCTAGCTGCTTCTTCCAACTTTCTTCTGATTTCTGGAGGACAATTGTCTACAGGAATATCCAAAACTGTTTCATTGGCAGCAGCAGTGAAACCTGTCGCTCTGTCAAAGCGTGGACCACGACGATTTCCGAAATGACGATGTCTAAAATGTGGTGGTGGTGGTGGAGGAGGTGAACGTGGATGTGATGTTGGACCTGCTTGAGCTGGTCCTCGTGGAATGTCTGCATATGGACAACGTCCAAATCTGCCGAATTTTGGAAATGGTTGACTTGGATCAACAACCTTAGCCATTGGATGTAAATAAGAATGTTGACCAAAATTGCATTTTTCCAATTGCAGTTTAGCTTCACATTTGGAACATAAATCAAAATTATGACAAACTAAACAACAATATCTGGTTCCCGTAAGTGGAACAAAGTCATTTGGATGACAAACGTCACAGCAAATATTGGGATGAATCACATCTGGTTCAGGTGCGACTGGAGGAGCGGCAGCAGGGGTGGCAGTAGCAGAAGCAGCAGGAGCATATGCAGGGAGTGTTTCAGTAGAACCAGCAGTGGCACTCGTTTCAGTAGAAGTAGTGGAAGTAGTGATAGTAGTACCATTGTTTGTGTTTGAAGTAGTTGTATTGGTAGTATTATTAGCCATCGCTAAATCGGCAAATAATTCCTTGAAATGTTCCAAAGCGGCTTCAAATAAAGCATCACCCAAACTAGCAAAATCAATTCCATTAATTTTTCTCTTATCTTGTTCTTTCAGTTGCTGTTGGTTGGTTTGTGGAGGTTGTGGTGGGGAATGATCTTCGATCAATAAATTGATATGATTCTTAACCTTCAAGCTTCTAGTCAATGCTCTAAAATCATCCAGGGTCTCCAATGGAACAAAATCATGATATTTCTTTGATTTCCTAGAATAATCCAAGAAGATATCATCTTTTGATAATGATTCAATTTTTGATGATAAGAATTCCGTCAACGCCGCCTTTGATTTAATCGGGACAAATTCACCTCTGTCAACAGTAAGAGTGGTTTCAATTGGTTTTGGTGGTAATAATGATGAGGAGGATGTATCTGGGAAGATCTTATTGATGGTAATCTTGAATGTAATTTGTGGTTTAATATTACTCATGATGGCAAATTGTTAAAAAGTGTACAAAAACTGATAAGTTTAATTTCAAAAAAAAATGTGGGAGATGGGGGCAGTAGTCTGATTGGTTGTAGTTTCTTTGTAATGTTTGTGTTTTCAAATTGTTCAATGATTAGTGTAAACCAATTCAAAAATCAATTCAACAAGTAAAGAAGAAGGAGTAGTAAGAAAAGAAGGAGAAGTAAGAAGTAAGAAAGTAGAAGTTAATGAAAAGTGAAATTATTATGAAGATTTTGAATTTTTTTTTGGTTTGTTTTTGCCACTCCTCCTCGCAACATCTCTCCCCCCCCTTAATGATTTATATTATTATTTTTATGATTTGAGGTCATTTAATTATAAATTTTAATAAAGGGAATGAAAGGGGAATGCGAAATTAAGTCTAATTTGAGGGAAATGATAAAGATTGTTAATTTTTACAGATACAATTAGCATAGGGCAACATTGAATTATAATAATCTTATATCTATTAGAGTGTAATGGTATCGGAAGTAATAAGTTTAGTATATTGTAATAATTCTCCTTCTAAATTTGATAACAATTGTCAAAATGGTAATAAAACGGATAAACAGGAAATCGCTAATCATGGGGCAAGGTGCGGCGGCACCATTATTACTAGATTTGGTTGATTGTTATCACACGGGAAAAATAAAAAACTTTAATCTACTGAACTTTGCCCATCCATGGTATGCATTTACTTGTAGTCATCTATAAAATGATAACTAAATATCCCAAAGCAGTAGTATTTGATTTAGATTATACATTATGGCCATGTTGGTGTGATACTCATATATCTACTCCAATAAAATCAATATCTCCAACTGAAATTATTGATGCTGGAGGTATGAGATTATCTTTTTATCCTGATGTTGAATCAATTATCTTAGAATTATATCAAGCTAATGTAAAAATTATAGCAGCAAGTAGAACTGGAACTCCTCATATTGCAAAAGATATTCTAACTAAATTACATATTGCTGGAAAGCCAGCTTTAACTTATTTTGATAGTTTACAATTTGGTCAAGGTTCCAAAATTGGTCATATTAGATCAGCTGCAAAAGAATTGAAATTAATTAAAGAATTACAACAAGGAGAATTCATTTTATATGATGATGAAAGAAGAAATAAAGATGTCATAAAGATTAATTGTCATTTCGCTCATATCGAAGATGAAATAATTGGTATAACAAGAGATATCTTCATAACAGAGATAAACATTTGGGCAAAGAGAAAAACGTAGCTTATACATCATTATCATCATTACATTGATATCATTACTGTATATTAACCTTCTAAATATAAATATATATATATTACATAGAACACTCGATCGAGAGAAACCCATTAAAACGAAATCAACACATCAACCGTCATCTTCTAAAGAAAAACTTTTGAATGTATATCAATATACTTAGTATTAGTTGTGTCCAATTAATATTAAATATAATTTTATAACTAGTTAGGATTTTCTTGAATTGTCCTAACAAGGGTAACAAGGTTATCATGAGAAGCATTATCGGGAGGGTTGACCTCTTTCTAAGGTTCGTTAGTATATTACTCTGTCTATTTATTATTTCATCTGATGATATACATACCTCAATAAGATAACTCTTTAAATTGTCATCAGACCATTCTGCAACATTAACATAACTTTGTTCAATAGATTGGGTCATCATCCCATTTGGAAGTTCTCCGGATTCATTTAATTCAATAGGTTCATTGTCTTTGTTAGTTCCTTCTACTTTTTCTTCCTCTTCTTCTTCTTCTGATTTGGTTCCGCTTATATAATTATAAAGACTTGTTTTTAAATGTGGGAATGTATTAAGTACTAAATAACTACTGGCAATCACAATTACTCCAGCTGTTAAACCTAACTTCAAGTTACGTGCTTTGTTTGATTTCTTGAATTGTAGTGACATTGAACGTTTATTTGGGTTATCCTTTGCTCTATAATGAATGTATTAATATTTGAAGATAACGTGTAAAGTACTTAAATGAGATTCTTTTTTTGAGGTTTCCGCCGCATATTATTTTCTAGAAAAATCGGTTTTTCTTTTGTTTGTTGGAAAATTGTTCCTTAATAACCGAGGATAAATCTTGAACTTTATATTGAATATTATTAATCCCCCACAATTACAATAAATCCTTTATATCTTTGTGTTAATGTAATATGATGACCTAAATCGATTAGATCCCCTCAACTGAGCCTTATCCCAGTCAGTTTGAAGAAATAAGAAACTTGTTGGAAATGCCTTAACCTGAGAAATTATGTCTTAATATTTGGAAAACGTAATCAAAAGAATCCGCAGGAGATACTGATAAGAACGCTAGTAAAGATTCCAATTCATTATTTAATGAAGCGACAAGTAAAGAAGATAAGACTGTTAAGTCAGACGAACCAAAGCTTCAATTCCAACAAGAAGAAGATGAAGATTTCTTAAACCGATCATTGAAATAAGTTCTCATTTAGTCTTGTGTATTTTAGACATATCTGCATGCTTACCACTAAACAAACAATAACCTGGAAGCTCAACATCCGATTCGGGCACGGCTTCTAGGGTAGACCCAGAAAGAGCGTCTGACGCAAAGTGCAGATGAAAGAATATCGCCGACCCCAAGCACTATCAAACAATTCAATCGGAGAGGCAAGGAATCAGCCACACCCAAGGTGATCAAAAGGTCAGTAGTAGAGGAAACTATTACAATTAAAGCAAGCTGGTATCTTTATAGTACACAATTTAATTAAGTCGAATATACAATAGTTAAATAAGAAAATAAATGAATAGCAGAATCAACCAAGAAAAGCATCTAGTACCAACGTAAAAATGGAACCCCCCACCTCCCCTCTCCAACTCACCAAAGTCTAGATTAAGCTAATCCTTGTTCCCTGAAATCTAAAAACTCAATCACACAAAGTAACCATTGTCAAAGTGGATAATTTAGGATGAATATAAAGTTCCTTTATTTTTTTTTTGACTTTCATGTTTGCAGCCATGGAGGGAGAAATGCATTTAGGCACGAGTTAACAGTGTGGGACTCGACTTTTCGGTAATACCCACTAAAGCTCCCTCGAAATCCCTCCCCCCCTTCCTCCCCCAGTACACACATAATATCCATCATAGTAATTGACCGTTGCCCAAGCGGATAATTCAAATGAATGGTAAGTGCATTGCACCAGCAATCCCAATAAAAGCCCCCAATACCCATAATATTAATCTCTGATCATGAAAGCGGCTGGAACTTTGATTTAAAAACAATGATTAAACATTAATGGAATATGGAACAGATTGAAGGATAATGAATAGGGTTTTTTTGGAAATGATTCAATGATAACAATAAACCTGACAATGAACATAACTTGATTGTAGGAATAGGATGAATGATAAGTGTAGTTGAATTTGACTTGAATTTGTTTGCGAAAACTAAAGAAGAACATAAAAGGATTGAATTTGCATTTCTAATTTGTGGCGCCTAAAATTTATGCTGCAAATTTTCTTAGTAAATTCTGAAACAATTGCGAGAAAATATTAATCCGAGTCTCTGTTGTTAAGATCTAAGAGACAAGAGACAGTAAAGATTCATTACAAACGATAATTCATCCAAGTCATAGGTCTGGGAATTGTAATTATACACTAAAATAATAAACTAATATATATAACCTGATACTGATCCTCTGATTAGGGCATACATATGCGAAAATTTGCAGCCGTCTCCTTCAACTGTCGCATTTTGTTGACTGAAAATTATACATTATAGACAGAAGTTTTTGCTCTCTTCTTCGCCCATTTTAAATTTCAACACAGAGAATCTTTCAATAAATTACTTTAAATAATTAATATATTAATTACATCTAGATGACTTCCTATATAAAATATTCCAATTTAAACGTAAGAATTCATGTAGAAACTTTAATGCACAATCATGGGAATTGTACTTCCCAAACCAGACCGAATTTACTCAATAATTAGAAAAGGAACATACAAAGGTCATTAATATACCCGTAGACCCCTGCTGCAAACTAAACAATTATGCAAACAAGAAAGTGTTAAGTCTATGTGCGGCTAAACGCCAACCCTTCAACTGGGGACGATTAGCTAATTCCTCTCTTTCAAGTCTTTCTTCTTCGTCGATTTGTGCCTTACCAGTAGTTATATCAGCTTCCATATCTGATCTGAAATGAGTCTTTTTAAAGAATTTCCAAAATAAAAACAAGAAAATAAAGAAAACAGGTGCAAAATAACACACAAGCAAATCAGCAACTGTAAAATTTTGTGGCCAGAATACCCAAAATCCATTAAGGAGCAACACTGAACAATTTAAAAAGCACCCCAAATAAGTAAAATAAGGATGAATGAACCTTGGAGCCATGTAGTATTGATATTCCCCTTTCTTGATTTTAATGCCGGTTTGCTTAGGATATACTCTTCTGAATTTAAAGTAACAGATCCAAATACAGAGATAAGTACACAACATCCCCGTGGTTGCTAAATTAATAAACCAATTGAACACTA